GACTGAAACAAAGGACAAATGACAGATCTTCCCTCTGGGGGGCAGGAAACTGCAACGTCCCCTTTGTCACTGGAAAGTACTCATGGGGAGGGGAAAAGGGGGACCAGCCAGGTGACAGGGACACTCAGGTTACCACCACAACTCCTCCCTCAACCGCTCCTTTCTGTAATGTATGCATGATGTTTCTGGGGGTGGGCTTGACCTGGAGGAGGGGAATTTCAAAAGTTTTTATAAGGTCTTGCAGGCCATTGTTCTGGGTCTTTCCTCTCTCTTGCTAGTGAGGGGAACACCCTGTTGCAACAGTTCAATAAAGGCCAAGCCTAAAGGCTGCTGTTTTGCTCCAAGTTATCCTGGTTGGTGTCTTTGTTTTTGTCCAAGAGAGCCCTCGGATTTTTTCCTGGTAACAATAGGATGAGACCCTCCCTGCCCACAGACTGTCTGTCCAGAGTGGTGCATGCTCTGGTTATCTCCCGCTTGGACTACTGCCATGCGCTCTCCATGGGGCTGCCTTGGAAGGTGACCCGGAAACTACAACTAATCCAGAATGCGACAGCTAGACTGGGGACTGGGATATATAACACCGGTCTTGAAAGACCTACGTTGGCTCCCAGTACGTTTCCGAGCACAATTCAAAGAGTTGCTGCTGACCTTGAAAGCCCTAAACGGCCTCGGTCCTGCATACCTGAAGGAGCGTCTCCACCCCCATTGTTCTGCCCGGACACTGAGGTCCAGCGCTGAGGGCCTTCTGGCGGTTCCCTCATTGCGAGAAGCAAAGGTACCGGGAACCAGGCAGAGGGCCTTCTCGGTGGTGGCGCCAGCCCTGTGGAACGCCCTCCCACCAGATGTCAAAGGCCCCATTAGCTAAAGTGGTGCTTCAGGTTAAGAACAGTTTCAGGTTAAGAATGGACCTCCGGAACGAATTAAGCACTTCACCCGAGGTACCACTGTATTCTAAACACATATTTCCAGTGAGAGATCCTTTTATCTTGACCTTATCTTTTACTCCTCGCAACTCTCACTTTCTCATCTGTACCTAATCTCTGGTTTTATTCCCTGAATTATTTGATGACTTCCTTCTGCCTCTACGCGGTTCCTAATTTCTCATCTATTAAAGTCTCTGCGTCCATTTTTAGCTCTGCAAAAAGCCATTTGTATTATCTCTGTGGAATTTAATCCATGCTCAACCGCTGTGGTTTTATTTCCAGCTTCCCGTGTCGCCCTGCGTGGCCTGTCCATTTGGAGGTAAGCATGCCTGGGGCAATTCTCACTCTCTTAGAGAACACTGAGCCCAATTCTTTGATTATTTTGGCTCTTTAAAGGTAAAGGGACCCCTGACCATTAGGTCCAGTCATGGCCGACTCTGGGGTTGCGGTGCTCATCTCGCTTTATTGGCCAAGGGAGCCTTTTGAACTGCTAGGTTGGCAGGAGCAGGGACCGAGCAACGGGAGCTCACCCCGTCGTGGGGATTCGAACCGCCGACCTTCTGATCGGCAAGCACTAGGCTCTGTGGTTTAACCCACAGCGCCACCTGCGTCCCTCTGCCCCACTAAAGGAGGATGCTATTGCAACTTTGGGTGGGATGATGATTTTGAGCACTGTGCACGAGCCCCACTTTGAGACCCACAACTTCTCGCTCTCCCCGAACAGGCCGCTCGCGGCGTCCGGCGCACCCGCTCGCTCGCTCCATCAGACGCCCGTGACGGACAGCACAGACAGGTAGCCCGAACCCCAAATACCCCCCCCCCCTTTGCTGGGCAGCCTGGGGGGGATTCTATTGGCAAAACCAATTTGGTGTTTCGCAACTTTCTGACTAGTTGCAGGACCTTAGCCAGACCTAGCAGAATCCACGGAAGCAATTGGCAACTTGGCTGCAGACAGGATAGACGGATCAGGAACCAGGAACTTGTCGTTAGGTGTTTATTATATACAGTGGACTGTTTACAGGAACAGAACACGGATCTTTTGCTAGCTCTCTCTGACACGACTCACAACTCCTACACTGACACACAGAACTCTGAACACTGAAATACTGAACACTGAACTAACACATTCCAGTTAGTAGGCCATTAATTATCACTCCCTTGAGAGAGCTTGACCAATCAGGGAGCAGTCTCCATGTCTCGATTATCACCAGGCAGACTTACTCCTTCAGATTGCCTTCTGGCTGTCTGCCAAACCTTAATTGACTCTGTGTCAGTAGCTGCACATACACAGTTTCCCAACAGATTCCATGGGGCAGGCGGAAAGGAACTTTGAGAGCCGCCATGGGGTAGCCACAAACCAGGGAGACCTCGCTTCCAATCGCCTCCCTTCGAGCTCATTGGGGACCTTAGGCCAGACGCCCACCTCTCACCTTAGCCTGCCTCGTAGAATTTTAGCCTTGGAAGGGGAACCCAGGGGTCATCCAGCCAAACCCCCAGCAATACAGGGGTTGCGGCGAGAGAATCCCTGACAGATGACCTTCCAACCTCTGCTTAAAAACCTGTGAGGAAGGAGAGACCACCATCTTCCTGAGGGAGACTGTTCTGTTCTGGCTACATTTTAATATTTTAATGCTCCAATATTTTAATGTTGTATTTTAGTTTTGTTTTTAAGTTCTATTTCATTCAACTTATTTTTATTATTGCTTGTTAGCTGCCCTGAGCCCGGCCTTGGCTGGGGAGGGCGGGGTATAAATAAAAATTATTATTATTATTATTATTATTATTATTATCATCATCAAACAGCTCTTACCACTAGAAAGTTATTCCTGATGTTTGAATCCGTTGGTTTGGGTCCTTGCTGGCTCCATCTCCCATGGGACAACTGCCCTTCCAATATTTGATGATGGATCTCCTATCTCATACGCTTCTCTAAGATTATTTATATCCACTCATGTAGGTCTCAAAATGACCTCCAACAACGAAAACATATAAGCAATTTAAAACTCGCAAATTTTTAAACGCCAAGAATTTTATATCTCCACCTGAAAATATCTGAGATCCATTCAGGGCGATGCAAAGGCCACTGGGAATAAAACAGTTTGACTGGGCATTTGAAACTCCAGTAGGGATGGAAGTCTCCTTGTTGGACTCTCTGCCTAACTTGTCCCTGCCTAACTTCTTGTGGGAGGGAGTTCCATAGGTCTGTGCAGCCGATACCGGAATTTGCACCCAGCTCTTGTTCATGCGGGACTCCAGTCAGAAACCAGCAAGGTTGGAGTGATAACAAGAGCCATGAAACTGGGTTCTAAGGGGGTCATCTAGCCCAACCCCCTGCGATTCCTCAGCAGGGAACGATGCCCTGATGGTATCCTTTCCTCCGTAGTTCTGCTCAGCTTCAGCAGAAGAGCGCCAGCACCGTCGTTCAGAAGAAGTCGTACCTTCCTAGCAGCCGGGGGGAGTACGTCATCACCAAGCTAGACGACTTGGTCAATTGGGCTCGGCGGGTGAGTGGCACCTTTGCGAGAATTATTATTATTATTAAAGGTAAAGGGACCCCTGACCGTTAGGTCCAGTCGTGGCCGACTCTGGGGTTGCGGCGCTCATCTCGCTTTACTGGCCAAGGGAGCCGGCGTACAGCTTCCGGGTCATGTGGCCAGCAGGACTAAGCCACTTCTGGCGAACCAGAGCAGCGCACGGAAATGCCATTTACCTTCCCGCCCGAGTGGTACCTATTTATCTACTTGCGCTTTGACGTGCTTTCGAACTGCTAGGTGGGCAGGAGCAGGGACCGAGCAACGGGAGCTCACCCCGTCATTGCGGGGATTCGAAACGCCGACCTTCTGATCGGCAAGTCCTAGGCTCTGTGGTTTAACCCACAACAACACCCGCGTCCCTATTATTATTATTATTATTATTATTATTATTTTGTTTAATTGCTGCTAGAGACGTAGTTCATCCTGCCCTTAACATCTCCTGCAGGCCCTCAAGCCGTATATACCAGTGTTTTACCCCGAGCCACACTTGACCTTTCACTTTCCCAAATGCGGAAGCTGCAAAAACGCAAAATAAATGGCAAAAACAGACAGACCTCAGCGTAACACTCAAAACAGAGCACGTTCGGCTTCTGAAAAATGTTCACAAACCAGAACACTTACTTCCAGGTTTGCTAGTGTTTGGGTTCCAAGTTGTTTGAGAACCAAGGCGTTTGAGAACCAAGGTGCCACTGTATCAGCACCCACAATTCCTAATAGAAAAGCCTCGAGTTTTTAAAATAAAAGTTAGTGGCTCATAGGGACGCGGGTGGCGCTGTGGGTTAAACCACAAAGCCTAGGGCTTGCCGATCAGAAGGTTGGCGGTTCGAATCCCCGATGACGGGGTGAGCTCCCATTGCTCGGTCTCTTTCCTGCCCACCTAGCAGTTCGAAAGCACCTCAAAGTGCAAGTAGATAAATAGGTACCGCTCCGGCGGGAAGGTAAACGGCGTTTCCGTGCGCTGCTCTGGTTCGCCAGAAGCGGCTTAGTCCTGCTGGCCACATGCTGTACTCCGGCTCCCTCGGCCAGTAAAGCGAGATGAGCGCCGCAACCCCAGAGTCGTCTGCGACTGGACCTAATGGTCAGGGGTACCTTTACCTTTACCTCTCCAAACTTTCCATGTCGGCGACACACTTTTTGGACGTGCATTATTTCGTGACACAGACAAAATGATCCTTGGGGTCTCTTCCAATTCTACAATTATATGATTTTATGAAACCCCCCATTCCTGTTTCTGTGGGCAGAGACTTTGGTAAAATCACAGAATCTTTAGAGCTGGAAGGGATCCGAGGGTAAACGGCGTTTCCGTGCGCTCCTCTGGTTCTCCAGAAGCGGCTTTGTCCTGCTGGCCACATGACCTGGAAGCTGTACGCCGGCTCCCTCTGCCAGTAAAGCGAGATGAGCGCCGCAACCCCAGAGTCGGCCACGACTGGACCTAATGGTCAGGGGTCCCTTTACCTTTACCTAGCGGCTCATATCTCAATGCTTAGCGTCTCCTCTCTGCCCGCAGAGCTCCTTGTGGCCAATGACCTTCGGCTTGGCTTGCTGCGCCGTCGAGATGATGCACATGGCTGCCCCCCGCTACGACATGGACCGCTTCGGTGTAGTCTTCCGAGCCAGCCCCCGGCAAGCCGACGTCATGATCGTGGCAGGCACGCTCACCAACAAGATGGCGCCCGCCCTCCGGAAGGTAGGCCGGGTGGAATCCGAGAGGCGGCCCTTTCAGGGACGATGGGAGACGTTGGTTTTGCCCGAGGGCCGTATTCGCTTCCGGGGGGCCACCTGCCAGCAGAGGGCAGGGCCAAAGGCGAAATGTTTTAAACACTTTTAAATTTTGGTTCCTCTCATTTTGTTTCTGTTGGGGTTGGTTAAATGTTTAGTTGGGACTGGCAGGTATTTTATCTTGGGCATAACTGTAAATTGTTTTTATTTTTATTTATTATTATTATTATTATTATTATTATTATTATTATTATTATTATTATTTCTGTATCCCACCCATCTGGCTGGGTTTCCCCAGCCACTCTGGGCAGCTTACAGTATATATAAAAACATAAGAAAACAAACATTTAAAAAACTGAATATCTTATACAGATTATAAATAAACCAATAAAAAAATAGAAACTAATAATGAGGATGTTCCCCAGAAGAAAACACAGCCCTTGGGCAGAAGCAATTATTATCATTATTATTACCGTATTTTTCGCCCCATAGGACGCACCGGCCCATAGGACGCACCTAGTTTTTTTTTGGGGGGGGGGGGATAAAGAAAAAAAAATTATTTCCCCCCCAGGCGCAGGGCTGGGGCGGGGGAAGCCCAAGCTTCCCCTGACCCCAGCCCCCAGAACAGGCAGCTCTCCGCAAGCCTTGGGAGACCGGCGCGACTTCCCGTCGGGCTCCCACAGCTTGCGGATATCTGCCTGAAGCCCAAACCAGGTCGGGGAACAGTGGGATGGCGGCGCTCCGCCTCCCCGCTGTTCCCCGAGATTGTGGAGCTGGCGGCCAGCCTCCAAACCAGGTTGGGGAACCTAAGCCCGGGCTTGCAAGGCTTGCGGAGAGCTTCCTGAAGCCTGGGGAGCGAGAGGGGTTGCTGCGCACCGACTCCTCTCGCTCTCCAGGCTTCAGCGAAAGCCTGCATTCGCCCCATAGGACGCACACACATTTCCCCTTCATTTTTGGAGGGGGAAAGTGCGTCCTATAGGGCGAAAAATACGGTAGTTTCTACTGATTTGTTGGTTTGTTTATAATCTGTGCAAAAAAAAATTATAATCTGTACAAGGGACGCGGGTGGCGCTGTGGGTAAAACCTCAGCGCCTAGGACTTGCCGATCGCATGGTCGGCGGTTCGAATCCCCGCGGTGGGGTGCGCTCCTGTCGTTCGGTCCCAGCGCCTGCCAACCTAGCAGTTCGAAAGCACCCCCGGGTGCAAGTAGATAAATAGGGACCGCTTACCAGCGGGAAGGTAAACGGCGTTCCGTGTGCTGCGCTGGCTCGCCAGATGCAGCTTGTCACGCTGGCCACGTGACCCGGAAGTGTCTGCGGACAGCGCTGGCTCCCGGCCTCTAGAGTGAGATGAGCGCACAACCCTAGAGTCTGGCAAGACTGGCCCGTACGGGGAGGGGTACCTTTACCTTTACCTTTTATAATCTGTACAGTCGTACCTTTGATATTCTGTGACATTTTTAATGTGTGTGTTTTTGGCGGGGCGGGGGATGGTGGTTGTTGCTGTTGTAACAATTTATTCTGCGCTTCTATCCTGTGTTTCCATCCTGTGCGCCGCCCTGAGATCGTAGGATGAAGGGCTGTGTACAGATTCAATAAATAAAAATAAACTTTGAACATGGCAGACTTACTGAGCTTTGCAGATCCTGGTCTCTGCAACTCATTTTGACTCCAGAATGCAAGAATTGACTCCAGAATTCTTTGTTTCGACAGGTGTACGACCAGATGCCTGAGCCACGCTATGTAGTCTCCATGGGGAGGTAAAGAAAAATGGAAATATTTCCTTCCTATTGTCGTCGGGGAAAGTGGGTGTATTTGTAATCATTTTTTCAAGCTTATAACCTCCATTCATCTCCCTGCCACTTCTTGTCGCCCGTGATTTGAACTCTAGGCTTTGAGTGGTTTTGCTGCTGTCTCTACTGAATCTTTCCTCCTGCAAACCGCACTCCCTGACGTTTCCGTGGAGGTGAAGTGTTTAAAACAGATGTATCCCAAAATCAGGGACGCAGGTGGCGCTGTGGGTTAAACCACAGAGCCTAGGACTTGTTGATCAGAAGGTCAGCGGTTCGAATCCCCGCAATGACGGGGTGAGCTCCCGTTGCTCGGTCCCTGCTCCTGCCAACCTAGCAGTTCGAAAGCACGTCAAAGTGCAAGTAGATAAATAGGTACCACTCCAGCAGGAAGGTAAACGGCGTTTCCGTGCGCTGCTCTGCTTCGCCAGAAGCGGCTTAGTCCTGCTGGCCACATGACCCGGAAGCTGTACGCCGGCTCCCTCGGCCAGTAAAGCGAGATGAGCGCCGCAACCCCAGAGTCGGTCATGACTGCACCTAATGGTCAGGGGTCCCTTTACCTACTGAATCTTTCCTCCTCCTGCAAACCACACTCCCTGACGTTTTCATGGAGGGGGAATTGTTTAAACTGACGTATCTCAAAATCAGCAGTACCACCTCTTGCGGGGGGGGGCGGCCGGCCAGAGGTGCAAATCAGATTTCGAAAAGCTGGTAACACGGGATAAAGTTCATCCATGTGGTTGAAATAATCAAATTTAAATGGTTTAAATTAGATTCCGAACACGTGCAATCAACCACTCCAGTTTGGAATTTCATCGCACTGTTGTTGTCCTTTGTGGGCTGTGCAAACTGCTATTCCGAATAACGTTTTTTTATAGGGTCGGGGGCATTGGGGGCGAGTTTGCGGCACCAAAAAGATGGCTTAAATAGTGGATAATAGGTTGGCTAAAACATTGGACTGCCCTCTATTGGTTTTTTGTCCCGTTATTTTTCAGCTGTGCTAATGGTGGCGGCTACTACCATTACTCTTACTCAGTGGTTCGTGGCTGTGACCGGATTGTGCCGGTAGACATCTACGTCCCAGGTAAACAAGACGACATGTGTCACTGGGGGTTGGGTTAGATGATCGTTGGGGGGCCCTTCCAACTCTGCAGTTCTCTGATTTTGCTAGCTGCCTCTCCTTGGCTGCTCTTCCCCAGCCTGCAGCCGCCATCAGCCCTGGACATGGAGTCCAAAGTGGCTGGTGATGGCTTTGGACTTGAGATCTGGCCTCCTTGCAGAGTCATTTTGGACTCACAGCTGTCCATGGAGGCGCAGGTCAATTCTGTGTCCAGGGCAGCTCCATCTGGTACGCAGGATGAGACCCTATCTGCCCGCAGACTGTCTAGCCAGAGTGGTGCATGCTCTGGTTATCTCCCGCTTGGACTACTGCCATGCGCTCTACGTGGGGCTCCCTTTGAAGGTGACCCGGAAACTGCAGCTAATCCAGAATGTGGCAGCTAGACTGGGGACTGGGAGCGGCTGCTGAGACCATATAACACTGGTCCCGAAAGACCTACATTGGCTCCCAGGACGTTTCCAAGCACAATTCAAAGTGTTGGTGCTGACCATTAAAGCCCTAAATGGCCCAGTATACCTGAAGGAGCGTCTCCAACCCCATCGTCCACCCCGGACACCGGGGTCCAGCTCCTGAGGGCCTTCAAAGTGTTGGTGCTGACCTTTAAAGCCCTAAACGGCCTTGGTCCAGTATCCCTGAAGGAGCGTCTCCGCCCCCATTGTTCCAGCGCCGAGGGCCTTCTGGCGGTTCCCTCCCTGCGAGAAGCAAAGCTACAGGGAACCAGGCAGAGGGCCTTCTTGGTGGTGGCGCCCGCCCTCTGGAACGCCCTCCCAGCAGACGTCAAGGAAATAAACAACTATCTGACTTTTAGAAGACATCTGAAGGCAGCCCTGTTCAGGGAGGTTTTTATTGTTTGATGTTTCATAATTTGCTAGGAGGCACCCAGAGTGGCCGGGGCAACCCAGTCAGATGGGCTGCATGTAAAAAACCAGATCATTGTTGCTATTGTTATCCCTTAGGGGCTTGGGCTCAGGATACTTTCCAACGTTATGATTCTATTATCATTATGCAATACAAGGGATGGGCAAGGAGGTTCTGGCCTGGACAACCGCCTCGCCTCTGCCCTGTGATGGTCTGATTGCGAAACCCCTTCTTCGCAGGTTGCCCCCCAACAGCCGAAGCTCTGCTCTACGGGATCCTGCAACTGCAGCGCAAGATCAAGCGGGAAAAACGACTCCAGATTTGGTACCGGAAGTAGCTGGCGGGCCCGAAAACGACGGTGGCGCACGTGGTTTAGCGCATTTTGCACACGGCTTTCTCTACAAGTTTGCAATTATATAGAGAGATAAACAGAGTACATTGGTTTGGTGGCCTGTCTCTTTTCACAGAGTAATCAAGGGCTTCTCACAGGGAGGGAACCGCCAGAAGGCCCTCGGAGCTCGACCTCAGTGTCCGGGCTGGACGATGGGGGTGGAGACGCTCCTTCAGGGATGCAGGACCGAGGCCGTTTAGGGCTTTCAAGGTCAGCACCAAAACTTTGAATTGTGCTCGGAAATGTACTGGGAGCCAATGAAGGTCTTTAAAGACCGGTGTTATGTGGTCTCGGCTGCCATTCCTAGTCACCAGTCTAGCTGCCACGTTCTGGATTAGTTGTAGTTTTTGGGTTACCATCATAAGGAGTGATTTCAGCTCTTTTTGTATTTGTATTTGAGGGACGTGGGTGGCGCTGTGGGTTAAACCACAGAGCCTAGGGCTTGCCGATCAGAAGGTCGGCGGTTCGAATCCCCGCAGTGACGGGGTGAGCTCCCGTTGCTCGGTCCCTGCTCCTGCCAACCTAGCAGTTCGAAAGCACACCAGCACAAGTAGATAAATAGGTACCGCTCCAGCGGGAAGGTAAACGGCATTTCTGGTTCGCCAGAAGCGGCTTATTCATGCTGGCCACATGACCCGGAAGCTGTACACCGGCTCCCTCGGCCAATAAAGCGAGATGAGCACCAAAACCCCAGAGTCTGCCACGAATAGACCTAATGGTCAGGGGTCCCTTTACCTTTACTTTACTATCATGAGGGCTACTAACATGAGTTTGACCAAACTGCGGGAGGCAGTGGAAGACAGGAGTGCCTGGTGTGCTTTGGTCTATGGGGTAACGAAGAGGCAGACACGACTAAATGACAACCATCATGAGGACTAGAAGCTTTTCTTTTTAAAAGCAGTTGAAGTTCTGGGAACGCTAACACACACACACACACACCCATTCACACATTTTGCAACTGGTAGCTTCGGGCCAGTCGCTAGCTCTCTGCCTAACCTTCCTCTCAGGGTTGTTGCGAAGATTAAATGAGGGAGAAAAGAACTAACCACACCGACTCGAGCTCCTTTGTTAGGAATAAGTTGGGATATACTGTATTTTTCGCTCTATAAGACGCACCAGACCACAAGACGCACCTAGTTTTTGGAGGAGGAAAACAAGAAAAAACATGTTCTGAATCTCAGAAGCCAGAACAGCAAGAGGGATCGCTGCGCAGTGAAAGCAGCGATCCCTCTTGCTGTTCTGGCTTCTGGGATAGCTGCGCAGCCTGCATTCGCTCCATAAGACGCACACACATTTCCCCTTACTTTTTAGGAGGGGAAAAGTGAGTCTTATAGAGCAAAAAATACGGTAAATGTGAAGCTGCGATAGCAAGAGCAGGATGAGACCCAGGGTTGTTCGGGTCGACTTCCAGAAGGCAGCTTGTTTGCTCAGGAGATAAAAGTTTGGTGCTTTGGAGGCAAGAAGCCCTGGGTTCAAACTCCAGTTAAAAAGAGGCGGGTGTAAAAAAGACCTCTGTTTGGAGAGCTGCTGCCAGACAGAGTAGTCATCAGCAGGCTGCATGGACCAATCGCCTGCCTTTAGAGCAGGGGTCGGCAAGGTTAATTTGCCTGTACCAGATCGGGTCCCAGCCGCGATTTCTGGCGTCTGCACAGACGCAGTTTCCAGTGCCGCGGAAGTGAGTCCCCGCACCGCGCTGTGCTGGTTTAGCGCAGCGCACAAGCGGGCAGCTCAGTTCAGGGGCCGGGCAAACGACATCCGCGGGCCGCTTCCGGCCAGTGGGCCTTAGGTTGCTGACCCCTGCTTTAGAGCCTTGTTACAGCAGGTGGCGCTATGGGTTAAACCACAGAGCCTAGGACTTCCTGATCAGAAGGTCGGCGGTTCGAATCCCCGAATGACGGGGTGAGCTCCCGTTGCTCGGTCCCTGCTCCTGCCAACCTAGCAGTTCGAAAGTACGTCAAAGTGCAAGTAGATAAATAGGTACCACTCCGGCGGGAAGCTAAACGGCGTTTCCATGCGCTGCTCTGGTTTGCCAGAGTGGCTTAGTCATGCTGGCCACATGTTGGACGCCGGCTCCCTCGGCCAATAAAGCGAGATGAGCGCCGCAACCCCAGAGTTATCCGCGACTGGACCTAATGGTCAGGGGTCCCTTTACCCTTTACTACAGCAACAGAAGATAGGCTGGTGACTTTTACGTAGCCAGACTACTGATCCATCCAGCTTAGAGAACTGGCTGGCAGCCGTTCTCCCGCATGGAGATGTCGGGGATGGAACCCAGGGCCTTCTGCAGGCCACGCAGGTGCTGAGCTGAAAAGTCATGTTCCTAGACCTCATGGTTCTGAATGGAAAGGCAAATTTGAACAGGAGTCCGCCTCGTGCCGAATCAGACCAGGAGCTCATCTATCTACAAGGACTGGCAGGGGCTGTGTGGGGTTTGCAGGCAGAGAAGGGTCTACCGCAGCCCTGCTTACGGAGACGCCACCGGAGGGATCGATCCACAGACCTTCTGCATGCGTTGCTCTACCTCCGAGCTACACCCAGTTTGCCGTTCAGCAGAGATGAAAGGAGACAAGGCAATGTGGAAAAGAATTCTCTTGATCGACAGAACAGATTGCAATTTTTTTGGCTAAAGGGCTCGTGTCCATGTGCCTGGAGGCTCAAAAAACGAGAGGCCATCTCCCTCCCCGATTTCTGTTTGGCCACAAAAGGGGGGACCGTCTCGGCTGCTCCTGCTGCGGTCAGCATGCCCTTCCTCAGAGAGCTGGCCGGTCGGGGAACGGGCTGGCAGCTCTACTTGATGAGGGCGGGAGTGATCATTTTGGGGAAGGAGTAGTATCTGCAGTCGGACGGAGGGATGAGGTCCATGACGGCTGTGTGGATGTTTTCTTTCTTGAAACCGGCCTCCACCAGGTGCTGGACCTGTGTTTCCTAAAATGCGGGAGGAAAGCGCCTTGAGGAGACTTTAAACCCACCACACAAGACACGCGGTTGTAAAGAACCAGCAATATGAATGCACTATGAGCATCCGACACCAGAGGGTGCCAGAGAGCAGGGAATTTTAAAACGCAGTTTTCCATAGAGTTTTTTTTCTGACAACGATCCAAGGAAGATGAATGGCGATGAGAGCCATTTAAATATACGGGGTGAGTCTACTTGCGGGAGCCAGACTAGAATTCGCATGGACACAGAGATCTTGTTCCCTGGCCTCCGCCCGCCTGCAAAGCCCTCCCTCGTCCTCACCTGAAACATCTTCTCGATGTCCGAATACTTGTTCTTGAGGAGGTCTCCCCAAGATGTCAGGTTGCAGTAGGTGAGGACCCCTCCGGGCTTCAGGAGGCGGTAAGCGTGGCCCTGCAGGAGAGGGGGGAGGGATGGGAGTTATGGCGGACTTTGTGGGACTCTTTTCCCCCCCAGGACGCCTTGCAGGGATTTTTGTCCTGGAAAGGTTGGGGGTCCCTGCTGGTTGCATCCCCATATCTGAAGTTAGGAATGTTATAAGAAAAAAAGCCCTGCTCCTTTTCCCTTATGGGGTACCCAAGAGCCTATACAGAGTCCTTTTGTAGGTTCTCTGTTGGTAAAAGGACCCCTGACCGTTAGGTCCAGTTGTGACCGACTCTGAGGTTGCAGCGCTCATCTCGCTTTACTGGCCGAGGGAGCCGGCGTACAGCTTCCGGGTCATGTGGCCAGCATGACTAAGCCGCTTCTGGCGAACCAGAGCAGCGCATGGAAACGCCGTTTACCTTCCCGCCGGAGCGGTACCTATTTATCTACTTGCACTTTGACGTGCTTTCGAAGTGCTAAGTTGGCAGAAGCGGGGACCGAGCAACGGGAGCTCACCCCATCACGGGGATTCAAACCACCGACCTTCTGATCGGCAAGTCCTAGGCTCTGTGGTTTAACCCACAGCACCACCAGCGTCCCTTAACCGCGTCTGTTGGTAGGAGAAAATAAAAGAGGCAAACCAGAGCATATTGAGATGCAAAGCAGCTAGGAAGCCTGATCTTTTATTAAAGCTGTTGCAACAGGGAGAGAGGCGGAGGACCCAGGACAAAGGTATGCAAGCCATTCTGCCATTCACGCAGTGCCATTCTGCTGCCTAAAGGTAAAGGTACCCCTGCCCGTACGGGCCAGTCGTGTCCGACTCTAGGGTTGCGTGCTCATCTCGCTTAAGAGGCCGGGGGCCAGCGCTGTCCGGAGACACTTCCGGGTCACGTGGCCAGCGTGACGAAGCTGCACTGGCGAGCCGGCACCAGCACAGCACACGGAAACGCCGTTTACCTTCCCGCCGGAGCTGTACCTATTTATCTACTTGCACTTTGACGTGCTTTCGAACTGCTAAGTTGGCAGGAGCAGGGACCGAGCAACGGGAGCTCACCCCGTCATTGCGGGGATCCGAACCGCCGACCTTCTGATTGGCAAGTCCTAGGCTCTGTGGTTTAACCCACAGTGCCACCCCCAAAACATCATACATACATCACAGAAGGGGTGTAGCCCAAGACCAACCCCCAGTACATTAGAGAAGAGGCGGACTACAACAGAAATCTGAGTGCGTTTTTATCCTGTCTGCCAGGTTACCTGACTGGATTACCTGGGCGTCCTGGCCACTCTTTTGTTGTGATAACTACTCAGTTCCTGAATCCAGGTCACAGGCTCACCCTATTCATACCTTAAATGTGCCCTTGAGACAGGATTTGTGAGCAAAGAGACAATGGGGAGGCTCCCCATTTCCTTTGACCTTGCAGAGAAATATCTGAGGTCATTTGGGAGAGACAAAATGGTTTCAGGACTTTTTCTGTACTGTTTTCAGACATGTGGTTTATGGGTGGGTGGGTGGGTGTCAGTCAGGCTTCCTCAACCTCAGCCCTCCAGATGTGTTTGGCCTACAACTCCCATGACCCCTAGCCAGCAGGACCAGAGCTCAGGGATGATGGGAGTTGTAGTCTCAAAACGTCTGGAGGGCCAAGTTTGAGGAAGCCTGATATAAGGCCTTAAAATTCTTATAACAAGAGGAAGAATGGAAGATGGCCCCCTCCACCTTCTGCCCTGAGCAAACCC